ACGATATGTCCCATTTAACCTGATCTGTCCCTCATATGGATATCCTACTTGATCTACATGGGCTAGCTCTATTCCAACAAATCTAGTTGCCTGATTAAGCCCAAATGTTATAAGACGTTACTCGCCTGACCCGAGCCCAATTAATGTTATCTTATCCGGCTCTAAGTCAAGTTTATTGGATAGGGTTCAAACCGCACCCCCAACAAATTTCATGTCTAGTGAGCTGGTTTGTGCTGGTTCGTCCAATTTAACAAATTCTCTTGAGCTTTAGATTTATTTTCTTGCCTCATAGAACAAATAAACCATGTAATTGCAGAGACAGCTGCATGTCTTATGAGAAATAAAAAAAGGACTATAATTGTTTATTAATACACTGTGATTATTCTTGAGATAATATTTGGTTTATTTGTCGCAGTATCTTCTGAAAGGGCGGTAAATATTTTATTTTCAAAGTGTAAGTTTTATAAGCATCATGAAAAATAAATAATAGTCTTTTCATCGCTTTCAGTAACTGCAACCGCTCCTACAATTACTGTTAACTGAACTGTAACAATAAACTTAGCAGTAATTGTTTGTCTATACATTTTTCTCGTCCCGAAAACTTGTGTCATTATCATCATCATAAGGTCGTCACAAGGATTATAGTTGGAGTTCCACCTCCACCCTTTCCTATCCTGAGCTCATTTTCGTGTTTCCCTGTAACCAAAAAATCCAGCATCCTTAACTGTTTGCGATCAGTAATCTAATCTAGGTCTACCTCTACTCGTCTTAATTCCTGCTTCTGGTTCCAAGGCCTCTGACTAGCCCTTCATGCCTGAGAAGGTAGCGACCTATCTCGCCTATTTCTTATTGTTCTCCTGTGTTCTCCTATTCTTTCTAATACCTCCTCATTTCTAACCCTCTGTATCCACAGTAATGCAAAGAAACTAGAATAAGAAAAATAAAATACAGAGAGAGAAATGGAAAAAAATTCAACATTTAAGAAAGTGTGATAAAACTTAATTGATATTTTACACTATGCATTGGGATACAGCGTTTGTAGTATCTGAATGTATTTGCCAGTTTTTTTTCTATTTTTTTTTCAAATCGGGTTCCAGGTTCACACACCTATAAAGCCCAGCACACCCTGTTATCGTACATTGCTGATTGATGCTTATTATCTATCGAGTGTCGAGGTATAGTATGCGCTTGTGTAGATTTTCTTGCGCAAATAATTCAACATTCAAGGAACAAATGCTTTTTACGAAATACTGACGTCGAGATTTATGTTGTAACATTCGAAGATTTATTGGATAGTTTCCAACACATGTTTCTTGTCTTTGACGTTACTAAATTTACATGTTTTGTACGTATCAATAGTTTTGCGTTTTATCGCATTTGTCTGTAATACACACTTCCCACGTGTTTATTGCAAAGGGATCCAAAAATGTTTATGCATTGCTGAAGAATTATATTATAGTAAATAGGAACGAGATACCTATGGGATTAGTTCGATGTAAATGACAATTGAACAAAACTGCTATGTAACTCATTTGTTTTGTATTGTTTAATGTTGGAATTATTGGGATCCGTCGAATAGGAGGAGCCTAAAAACATGGTGCCGATTAGGGAAAATTTATCGTAGTTCCTATAGTGTACCGTGCAATTTCCAAGTTTTTAAATTACGATAAAATGATAAGTATTGACACAATATGTGATTGGGCTGACACAAAGCCTCGGAAAGGAAATTTCGTTGAAGGTGAGCGTGTTTTTAATGCCAATCACATTATAAAATTCGGAAATAACAAATCCGGAAGCTAGCCTTCAAATTCCGTCAAGTTTACTGCCTACTTTTTACAAACTTCGGATTTAAAAAGTGATTCACGTTATATAATTGGTGAGGTGATTCTGGGTGATTTAAGCAATATCATATCAATGACTTGCACGTGCAAAGCCGATTTAAGAGAACGTTGCAAACACATTATTGCAACTTTGTTGTATTGCAGCAGGTAGGTTCTTAACCTCAAAATACTTATATCGTATCATTAGAATTGTGTTAAATCAATTACACAGGAATAAATAATTTCTCACTTTATAATTTTAGTATGATTCTAGTTTTAAATATTAAGGTTATGGCTGATGGTAAATACTTGCTGAAATATAATCATGTGCATTAAAATGACGTGAACAAATTTTTATTCCGGAATTCACTTCTTTGATACCTACTGCTTTCATCCAAGCTTCTATTAGTTTACTTTTTTCTCTAATTTTCCGAATATATTTTTTACATATATAAAACGGTTAGTTTTTATTGGAAAGTAGTTAATGTAGGTGAAGAGTGAAGATCTATGTCTGAAGTGCTATTGCAGCTTTTCACTGAACATATTAACTTTTTATTTGATTTAACTTTAGAAGAAAACTTCGTCGACTCCATCATCAAAAAAATTTTTACTTTTTTAACGTGTTTTATTATTTTAATAAACAATTTTACAATTTGCGTGCACAGTTCCTATGTAAATTTTTCCCTCATTCGAGTTATAAATTTTGCCACCAGATGGTGTATGCCCATTTGACGGATCCCAATAGCTTTAAACAAGTGTCTCTGCTTTCCTAAATTCTCGAGAATGTTGAACTTTCTTTAGAGACTGATGCCGGCATTCTGCTTGGCTGCATCTCTTTCTGTTATTCCTTTTCATTATTAGTGCTCGCTGCAATTCCTACCTGACATCTCTTTTCTATTTTTACAATATTCCATATATCGTCTGTCGTAAGTAAAAATAGGCGTTCTGTCAGCAACCGCGCTGGTCTAGATAATAAGTCAAAAGAAGAAAGTAAATGCTACAGTTTTATTGCGGACTATGCCAATTTTGAACAACGCAACTATATGTATGTACTTTTTGTAATAACAACAATTTTGTAGTTCCTATGTTTTAATTTGATTCATTCGGATCCACACGATAAATATATTTATGTACATTGCACATGGGCGGTTTTAACAACAAAATGTGTATACATTCCGGTGATAGAATCTTTAATCTTTTACGACGTTTTTAACGAAGTGTGTACGGTGTATGTGGCCAGTTGCTCTCCGTAAGTCAAAGCGAGATGGACAGTTTAGATATCCTGAAAAAACAAGAGACATCAAAGCGAGTGGATATGAAAAAGTTGGTCGCCAAAATTTGCGGCTCGCCTCTTTCTCTCTCTGTGTCATTAATATCTAGTAGTCCGTGAAGGAGCGTGTGTCTAAATTCGGCCCGATTTAAAATTCAGGCCGCGTCTTGATGAACGCTCATATCAGCCGAGTCTATGCGCGGATTTCGCATCCATCCCATCGGATCGCAAAGGCGTAGAAAAACACGACCGTCTATTTTTATATGTCGTGTTCTTTTGTACTTCTTCTTTTTACAATGACCTTTTTAGTCAGTGTTGCCAATGTTTTCTGAGGATTCGCCAATTTTTCTCATATTCGATTTTTATCAAGTGTGGTATATCTTACATCTCTTCCACTAAGAGATTCACGGCGTCACTTGATTATCCAGGTACTTGATCAGATCGAGTAGTTTCATTTCATATACACTGTAAACTCTTTATAACGTCACTTTATTTAACGACAAACTCCTTAAAAGGTCGAAATTGCTTGACTGGTTAGTTTACGTTGTTTTCTATACAATATTACACTCTATATAGCGTCACGCTCACTCTATTTAACGACAACAATGCGGCATTATAAATCATTAAGCAGTACTTTCTAAGTTGCCGAAATAGATAAGAACTTCAGCTGTGTACGTTGTTGAAGAAGACGATCCTGTCCCTCCACCAAGCATCAAACAAGCACTTGATGCAGCGAAACTATTAAAAAAATACTTTTTATATAATCAAATTGATTCTGCAGTATCTCAAGATATGAGTAAGATGCGTAACAAAATACAATTAAAATATTGGAGCAGCAAAAAACATCAGACGAAGATAACAGGCTATACGCAATGTATATGAATAATAGTTCGTGTGCAAAATGTGTACTATATTGGTAAATGCATATTATTATAGAATATGTAGTTAAATAATATTTTTTATTTCTCTCCATTTAACGACCACTCTTTATAACGCCGAAAAATGTTCAGTCCCTTAAGTGTCGTTATATAGAGTTTACACTGTATTTTGAAAATCAAGTACCTAGTTCTTCAAGTCGACTTAATTTTTGATTGTTTGATTCTTAATCATTTTGACATCAAATTTTAACATATCCATTCTTAGCTTTGCAACATTGATAAATTTTATTCGGTTCATCAGTTTCTTCGTTAGATTGTGAATATTTTTACTGGTGATGACGAACTGATCTTCAATCGCTTCATCTTCATCTAAAAGGTTGTTATAGTTTCCTCTGTCTCTTTAAGCTCCGAGTCGAGTATGTAATTTCATAAAATCACTGGAATAAACTTCAATAAGATGGAGTGAAGCTTCCAATTATTCACCTTCATACTAAAAGAAGATCAACCGTTTATAGTAAGAAAGATCTCTATAGATTGCATTTCTTCAGGAAATGTTTTAGAGTATTCTCTTCGAATATTTTCATTAATAATGCATCTTGAAATTGCTCCATTTTCATGTCAAATCAAGTTATTTGCAAGAACATGAAGCACTTTGACTTGATAAGTCATTACCAATATCAGAGAGGTTCCATATTTAAATATATAGTTTATTGTTCGTCTAGTAGTCCAATGGTAGACTAACAGTCTAACCACAAGATTGGAATATCTTTTAAGAAACTTTTAAACATGAGCTACGAAAAATTTGTAGTTGCGCGCTTCTTTAATTTCGATGGAAGAAAAATTGATTACCAAATGACAAACTGTCCCTTAAACGAAGGACAACGTTCCTTCCTCCCTTCAGCTGGCAACGCTGCTGTTTTTGTCTTTGAACATTCCAAGGTCACTAACTGAGTGACAGGCTTCAACGTAGAACAAAAGGAGCGCCTTCTCGACAATCGCATCGAATGTCGTCAGTTGTTCCGAAGAATATTTACTGGCGGTGATGATGCGGTCTCTTGTAGTATCGGCTGGTTGCTTGGTTGATCGTCGAGTTTTTATTATATGTGTGGTTGTGTGTAGGTACGTATAAAGCAGTGCGCGGCTGGATTGCAGTTGGTTCTCCAAGCCACTGCTGCTGCCCCAAGTTCGAAACCGTTTCGTTCCAGCTGGGAGGCCGCAGTTTCCGCCGCTCTCTCGTTCCAACCTTTGATGTTTAATTACCCACTTCGAATCCAACCATTAACTCCACCGGTGACGCTAATTTACTGTATTCCACTACTAATTAGCAACATGTTTCGAGACCTTTTTTTTTTTACCTTTTCTTTATTCCGCGCAAGACTTATTTTTAGAATATGATCAAAGTCGTCAATGCTTAACTGATCACCACTCCGACGTGAATACAAACGGTTGTTTAAGATGATCGTTCTCCCAAAAATAAGCACCCAATTATTTTTTAAACAAATCTGGTCTTTGAAAAATGAAACCTGATAATGCTTCAAAGCCTTACGAATATAAGACAGTTCGCAGATACTTCGGGATTGAACAATATTAATTTTAGAATACTTTAAAGTAGTTTTTGTGAAAACGTTTAAACTTCACAACCACGATCATTATTCGTTTACATTACGTATTAATATGTTGAGATTCTTCGGAATTAAACCTTCCTGGGTGTGAATTATCACCCGAGGGGAAGGCGAGGTCGCCAAACTTCCTGCTGTACTTTTTTCTCGAGGTCGTCCCTGCCCCGAAAGTATGATTTTTCCTGATTTTAGGGACAAGAAAGGGCAACATAACCTCCCAGGTAAGAAATCACATTTACGGTTTATTAGAAAAGTATATTAACATCTGCCTCGTGGAAACCCATGCGGGGGGTGGTAAAATCCTTTCCTAAATAAGGGAATGTTGCGCTTTCATGCAGTTGCTTCTAGGCATCTTTGTGAAAATACAAAATTAACATATTCCAAAAACTGATGCACTACCTCATATATTTCAAAAGATGATGCTGACCTTCAATATTCCTATGTTCGTTTCTCAATTCGCCACAAGGAAGGAACCATTGAGTACAACCCATTTCAATTTGTTAGAATTGTGACCTTGAAGAAATTGCGCGAAGATAGAAGGAATACACATTAAGCGTGAGCAAGACAGAAATAGTTGGAACAAGCTTGAACGAGCAGAGCTCTCGATGGGCGCTCTTAGGAGATCGGCTAGAACTGTACAGTACTAGACGAAAATGTTTATTAATTTCTTAAAACAAGAATGTACATAAATTAACAATAGAAAACAAAGCAAAAGTTTTATATAGGTGTGTAGAACGTTAAGTTAATTCACTTGTTATTATTTTTGGCTAAATATGCTTTTAAATGAAGTATATTCTTAAATTTTAACGAGGCAGTTTAAATAATTTTGCAAATGGTACTGTACACTTTTGTCTAGTTCTCGCTCGATGATCGGTGGATAAATGAGCTCCGCAGACAAATATGATTGAATTTGGAATTATGCTACGGCGCATCCTAATAAAAGGAAGGGGCATATCTCTAACTTCTTGAAACGAACAGTAATTGTATACTTCATCGACCTAATACTACCAATGTACTTCTGAACCTAGGCATGCATTTATAAGAGCGTTTGTTCCATCATGAATTCATGGATGAATACCAGTGAAAAGTTCTGAGTTGAGGTCGTCTATCGTTAAGTTTGTGTGTGTGTCTAAGCATCGCACTGATACAAAAAGCACTAATTCGTAAGCATTACTAGGACCGTGTCTTTCTTCTACAGCTTTACAGATCGTTATAAATGAGCGGCGAGAGAGGCGATCCGACAACTTTTTGTAAATCAATGAGAATTCTTCACGTCTGAACGCAAAAACTTGTTATTGTAATCGCGCCGCGTATATAAAAGAACTCTTCATAGTTGTGAAAATAAATTGGTCTACTTTTTTAGACAGAAACGCGGCTTTATTATTATTATTCGTGACGATTTTCTACAATGGAAGAATCGATCGCATCCCATCGTGTTCTTTACAAAATATTGTTCAAACAAACGTAAAACGCGTCAGTATCCTTTCTTTTATTATTATTATTATTAAGTCCTTTTTGTGCGCCCGCCTGTTTAATGGGGCCATCCATAGGGGAAAGGGGGGGGGGGGGCGA